TATATATATATATATATATATAGTTTTATAAAGCATATGCAATATGCTTTTAATTATTTCGTATTATTCTATTGAATATTTAAGTTTTGACCTTTTGACAGAAAACAACATGATTTTTAATAAACATATTGGGCTACTTGATAATTCAGAACGCTGATGTTATTAATAATATTGCTATTCTATATATATATTGAATAATGAAGATAAAGATAATATAGGAAAGGGGTTAACGCTTATCCCTAACTCTTCTACTGTGTGTTAACTTCTACAATAAGTGTTCCTGTTTTTCATTAGAATTTAGAAATAAAAAAACGATCAATGTCGTTACTCAATTACCGGATAAAATCTTATTGTTAAACCAAATCTTACGCTTTCTTTACTCGTTAATCTCCAGAAGACTTTCCATACTTATACCTAGAAGAACGTTCCAAAATTCTAAATAACTAATTATGACAATTATTCATTTTTCTTTTAGTGAAAAATATTTTCTAATATTGCGGAATAAGTTTGCGTTACAATCCAATTAATGTTAAATAATGGAGAATGGACGTTCAGGAAAACGACAGACAGGCATATTTTTACACAGAACAGTTTGTAACCTTTACTTATCACAGTCACTAAGGAAATACACTGTTTTCTATGACAATATTATTATTTTTCAATAAAGCGTTTGTAAGTTAAAAAAGTCCTGCAAATCTTAATGAATATCAAAACTATGTAATGCAGTCACGAACAAATATTAATGCCGAACAAACCAAGTTAGTTAACGTTTTTTTTATGTCAATATAAGGCATCAATGACATTTTGTGAAAAGAGGAAAATATATATTTGACGTTAATTCAACTAAAAACTCCCTGAAGATTTTCTGCGGTGATAATATGTTAGTTTGTTTGTTTGTTATGATTTCGCGCAAAGATATCTGCGCTAGCCGTCCCTAATTTAGCAGTGTAAGACTAGAGGGAAGGCAGCAAGTTATCACCATCCACCGCCAACTCTTGGGCTACTCTTTTACCAACGAATAGTAAGATTGACCGTC